TGTTATGACTAATTTATTTATTACTCTCCAGTTATCTCCGATCTCTTTCTATTTTTTGCTTATTCAGGAATAAAATATGCACTTTTAAGATGGAAGTAAAGTAGACGTTATCAAAGTGAATTTCTTCAAAGACAATTGTTTTTTATTTTTTACAAATATTATTAGTGTCAACATATAAAAACGTTTTTGTTTTATGGTGTATTTTTATAGAGAGTAAATTGGATTTTTAGTGTATAAAAGGTATGTTTTCTAATGTTGAAATAAGGAATGTTGGACTATGTGCTGCACCTTGTTTTGAAATTTACCATACAAAAGAAAATTTTGAATAGTTTTAGTTTATTATATATTTTTCAGCTAATAAATATTATTATTATATTATTACAAATTTAGGTAAAATTAAATATTTTTCAGTTTTTTTTTTCGTCTCCTCCTTCCCCTTCAAAATAGTAACTGGTAATTGAAAAACAGTACGATGGGTACAAAATTCGATCTGCAATGCGATTCAATATTCACTATAATTATTTATCCACTGTTTTTATTGAATTTTTAGTAATTTTTGCATTTTTTTACATATTTATTGAAATTAAGGTCCAAATATGTATTTTCTTAGATAAAAAAAATTGATTTTTTTTGGTCGGTTTTTTTTTTAAATTGTGCATTAAGGGGTTAAGAGATTCCAGTGATTTACTTTTTAATGTTCAGTGTATTAAATACTCTCAGAACGCATTTTTTCAATTAATAGTTTGTGGAACTAGAATATTGTGAATTTCCAAGGATATTTTTGACAATGAGAACATAAATAAATTGTATTCAATTAATGGCAACACGATATTGCAGTTACAATAACTTGTTCACCACAATCGATTTTCGTTACTGCAAATAAAAGCTCAGTATATCGTTTATTTAAAAACATTCGTCCAAGAAGTGATTTAAAGTTTACAAATGTACGTTCGTGAAACATACTTTAGAATTCGTCGTTTTTTACGCGTATGTACCACAGTGTTATTTACAATCAAACTAAATAAATGAACTTTCGAGAAAGAATAGTAATAGCCATAAAGGCCGTGAAAGTTATGATCAGTTTAGAAGACCGAGAATATTTATTAAAAATTGTTGCTGCGAAACTTTCGTCCGCAAGAGAGTAAGTTGTAAGAAAAGATGATTATCGCGTATACGAGAAGTTGGTCGATACACAACAGACTTCAGCACATCATTTAAGATTACATTATTTGAAATAGCACGTCATTTTATTATATAATTATTTCAAATAATATTTTTTTGAAATAGCACATATTATTTTATTTTATAATTATTTCAAATAATTACTGCAAATAATTGTGAAATTATTCTTGAAAATGTGATGATCTAATTATTATCTTTGGGTCTAATTGCTACCGATATCGTCATTAACATTTCTGCAAAATATAAAGACGATCAGACTATGCTAAATGATTATCCGATAATAAAAAACATGTTCCTGTAGAATAACACCGTTCTACACCATCCGTAGCAGTAGAACATTTATTTTCTTTCAACAATATTACATGAATCCGGATAAAAATCTCAGGATGAATTGTTTTATGAAAGAGCTTTACACGAACAAATTGATATAAATGTTTCTTTAAATAAAATCTATTTCTTGCATATTACTTCAAAGATATCTTTACGTGTAAGGACTGCTTGAAACAAATTGATGTAAATTATTTTGGAAATAAAATCTTGTAGCATATTATTTTGATGTGTGTGATTATTTCTTTTATAATATAATATTTGAAATGTAGGAAACAACGAAATAGTTCATTGTTTAAAACTGCTATTATTTCAAGTGGATCGATATTATATTTATTTTCAAATTACGACATTTTGAAACGGTTCAAAATGAATTATTTCAAACAGTTGTTCCTTATTTCCATTTCAAGTAAAATTTTGAAGATTATTTCTTTTATCATATTTGAAATGAAGAAAATAATGAAATAATTCATTATTTAAGACGGGTCGATATTATTTTTATATTCGAATAACGATATTGATACAGTTCGAAATGAATTATTTCAAACAGTTGTTCCTTATTTTCATTTCAAGTAAAATTTTGAAGATTATTTCTTTCGTCATATTAGAAGTGAACGAAATAATTTACTATTTAAAATTGCTATTATTTCAAGTGGATCGATATATTATCTTCATTCTCAAACAACGATATTGTTCAACAGGAATTCCATCAAACTTTCGATTACTATTTCAAATAAAATTTGCCCAGGTGCGAAACACAATACGGAGTAAATTTTACAAACCGGAAAGCCGTTTTGCGGAATCGTTTTCGAAGCAATATGAAAATCCATAATTTCGCAAACGATTTACTGGATACTTAAGCGTTAGCTCAGCCAGATACTTTTCGCGAACATCGGCGCGTCAGTTCTCTTATCCTGACAGTGCGCACTCCATCATATCGTCTTAAAGTATGCGTTCTCTTTTTTCCCTTGTTCCTTATTCCGGAACTCTTATCGTTTAATCGAATTCGGAAGAGGACAAGTCAAGTTAAGGGGAGTCCCGAACATCCGTTCGAGGGACAAGTAAAATGATCGCGTGTTACCTGTGCGAAGTTCGAATGGAACAGCACGAAAATCGCCCATCCGTAGGTGAACGTGTCCCTCCGTGATCGACGATACAGGTAAAGGTGGAACGAGTAAGGAATGTAATCGATCATTACGAGCAAATCTGCCACAGCCAGCCCCGTCAGAATGATATTCGTCGGCGATCGCATCTCACGTCGGGTTAGAACGAGGATGTTCAGGATATTCGCGATCGAGCCGAAGATGCAAACGAACAGCGAGATCCATCCGTGTAATTGGGAATAATGAGAATGAAAGGACGATAGATCACAGACGAACTGATCGGACGTCGTCGCGTTCAAATCCATGGCTCGGTTCTTCCTTCGTTCCTGTTGATACGATCTCTCGACTACTGCCAGACGTGCGATCTTGTCAGTGCCTCGAAACTTCCGACGAGATTTTTGATTTCGATAGATCAATCGTACGCGAACATCGTGGACCGAGCCGATCCCAATTGATGGATTGGACGAATTTCAAAATCGCATTTTTCCAACACGAAAAATCTGTCGTTGCTAAAATTCGGCACGCCTTCGGCTTGGAAATTGTTTCGAAATGTTAAACAATTTTCGAATACATTGGTTTGTCAATGAATTATCTTTGAGGGTAGCTCACACTCCCGTCTTGTTGCAAACGTTCACGATGTTTCTCGGTCTCGTCTAGCGAACCTCGTTTCGCCTTCTATAATCTCCCGGGAAATAATCCTGGATCCACAAGGATGTATTTCGAATTGATACGATGGCCTGTAGATTCCGAAATTTCGTCGGTTTCATCGGGGCTGTCTCCCGTTCGATTCTCGCGGAGCGTCGAAACGGTACTGTGATGGTCTCCGGTGATTTCAATATAGTCGCGAAGTTATCGGTCACATGTTACGCATGTTACAACTGCTGTACATGTATCTGCACAAGCGTGACGGTTTATTAGGAGTAACAGCGAGGAATTTATCTGACTGTCTACATTTTATTATTCGATGTGGTGCACGATCACCGTGTCGGCGAGGAGAACGTCAACAGATTTATATTTGATCGTTCTGAACGTCGGACGGACGTGAGATAGCGGTTCGTTTCTAGAGCGATGTCGCACGTTGAACTTTTTTTTTTTTAATTTCACCGGCTAACGGAGAGCGTTTTAACTCGTCCGGCGACGCACAACGGAATGCAACAAGCGTACTGTGCATAAACAAACTTTAGCTTGGCCACGATTATACGTACACGTCCACGCGCAGCGACGTCGGCGGAGCTAATGCCGTCGCGTCGCGTCGCGACGCTGCCGTGCCGGTCCGCAACCGCCCCGAAATTTCAACGCAGTCGCAGATCGTCTCTCCCTCTCTTTCGTTCGGTTTTTTCTACCGAGTTTTCATCTTTCACTTATATCGCCGATTTGTTCAATCCCGATATCCCCGTAATTCGTCAGATAGGGTGAGTGTATTAACCCTTTGTACTCGAATGACAACTCTAAGGCGCCATTGTAAATTGTTATATTTATATTCCAATATAATTTGAACATCATCAAATTTGTTTATATTTCAAAAACTGTCGAAAGTGTGACTGTTGCATGAGTTACAAAATTCAATTTTATATGTATAAAATGCGTTAGGTTGTGTAAAATGTAAGTACTGTAGGTCGGGAAAATTAGTTTGAATCTAGAGTTAAAATGGCATCGACTGCAAAGGGTTAATTAATGTGCCCATTAAAACGACGTCCAGAGTTTTCGAGGAATTAAAAAAACAGTTTTTTTTTACCTGCATCGCACTTCTTAAAGCATTTAAATTACATGTTGATGTATTTTATATCGTAAGTACGAATTTGTTCATAATTGAAGTATATAAACGTCACGAAATATTTAACAAAATATAGAAAATAGTTTCTGAGCGAGTTACTGTGCCCTTAAAAAGATGAGTGACTCATTACTGTGTATCAGTATATGTACTGTCATATTTCTGTGTACTGATTCAGTTACTGTATGCCAATTTCTATACACTGATCTAATTACTGTCAATTATGTATACTGTTTTAATTACTGTGCTTCAATCATAGTGATCAGCTCTAGGTAAATAATCCCAAAACAAAAATGTAAAGACATGTATTGAATCATATGGTATAATTTATTATTTATGTTTCAATGCTTAGACCAAGAAGATAAAGTTAGATGTAACACGCAGTTAAGCATGAGAGAGTTCAGTAATCATAAGACATGAAAACTTAGTCTAGTTCACTTACACCGTGATCTAGTTACACTGCACAGTAATGGAAACAAGACGTAACGGGTATATAAGGGTATATAAGGGTATATAAAGGTATATAAAGTATATAAGGGTATACAAGCATGACAAAAGTGTCCCCAAGTCGAATTGAACTCGCTGTACACCAAACGATAGTTTCTCTAAAGGAAACTTCTTCCCCCAAGTGGCAGTTTGGTACCTCTGCTATTGGGGTGGTTAGAGGGTTGAACGAGATCCACGGTTTTAATTCTATTTTTCCTATTCTATTCAACAGAAAATCATGAATAAAATCGTGAGGCTTCTTATCTCCTTAGATATGCATTTGAATATATAAATTCCCAATTTTATATTGAGATTGTTTTCATGTTTTCATAGCTTTTGCCTTTTGTTATAGTTAGTTAGATATAATTTTGTCAGATTTTTCGAAATAGGGGCAAGTATCTAAAGAAATGGAGAACAGATTTGTTTTACCTTTTAGTAAATAAAAAGTTAGCACATTCACGCATTCAATATATTTGTCTCATTTAAATAGTTGTTACACGCAAGCTCAAATAAATTTTATGTATTAGGGGAACCAATGCAGCTGTTTGAAAAGTTTTACATTTGATAAATATATATTTTCGATTAATTGTATAAGTATAATATAAATGGTAACTTGCATTTATGATGAGTGAATTTAATTTTCAATTTTGGAACGTTGAAACGGTTTCTTCAAAAATAGTTTCGTCGATGCTCGCATTATAAATTGGACACCTGCGAGGTTCTTTTTAGAATTGTCTTTTTGGTGTAGCATTGTAATAAGAATTTCCAGTAGTCTTACATTTGGGAACAATAACATGTCGAATATTAGAGAATTTTTCGGATAACTCTTCAATCTTTAATGATATAACTAGTAAATCTTAAAGTTCATTGAATGCACTATGCAATAGTATTTATGAAAATAATTACACACTTACCATTGTTAAAATATTATAATCCTAATCATTGTTAAAATATAAAATATAATATAAAATATATTTAAAAAAAATATAATATAATAATTATAATATTATAATTAATATAATCGATCTAAAATATTGTAATATAATTTCGTGTAGATTGTATGTATTTTGAAAATTCAGCTGACATCAACTGGTCCTAATTACGTAATCAATTTTTCTGATACAAAGTACTCATACCGATAGTTTCGACTGTCTTCTCGATAGCTATAAAAGATACTGCGACCATGTTTCCGGGATTTCGTCCGAAATTTCAACGCAGTCGCGGATCGTGTCTCCCTCTCTTCCATTCGATTTTCCTTCCTGACTTTTCATCTTTCACTTAATTTCGCTGCATTATTCGTACCCCGATATCCCGCTAATTTGTAATTGGACATGCACATTAAATTCGAATTCTCCACTCTGTGACGAACGCATCCCCGCATCCGCCAGGTAAACCGTGCATGTCACTGCAATTTGCGACTCGCCGAACGCGATTTCAAAGTATGATCTGATAATCATTTGATTCATTTATAAATCCCGGCAAATTCGAAATCACGTTAACCCCTTTAAATTTCCGTAGCAGAATCAGAGAAAATTAAAGAGCAGGAGTTCTGTATTTCCTTTGTCATTTCAACCAAGTGGAATTTTTGAGAAACTTTTTTTTTTAGATATTATTTAGCGAACTAGTTTCTCCGTCGTTTAAAGAATGTTCGTTGTTTGGTTCACTTTAAATACTAAAAACCTACAGACATTCTGTAAACGTTATATTTTTTTCCAGTTGATTTCAAGTAAAATAAATATAATATATTATATTATATATATATATTGATATATATATAATATTATATTATATATATTGATATATATATATATATA